CCATGCTTCCAGCCCTTTCCAGTCACTTTCAAATTTGGCAGGTCCAAAAATGAGCCATTTAGCTTGCCAGTTCTTGCAGTCAGGGTCAAGCTAAAAAGGGGAGGCTAAGTGAGCCTCATAGGTTCCAGGAGCGTCTGGACATCCAGAGGCACCAAGGCAGGTTTGGATAAAGCAGCAGTTCCCTAAAAGTCATCTGTAGTCTTTTGGGGGGTGCCCCAAGATCCTCTCAGGGGTCTGCAAGGTCAAAACTATTTTCATAATAATGCTAAAACGTTATTTTTCTCACTGTGTTGATACATGGACTGATCTTGCAAAAGCGATGTTGGGTAAAGTCCTGGTGCTTTTGCAAAAATCAGGGCAGTGCACCAAACTGTCGTAGTAGTCACTGTATTCTTCACTGCCATATACTCACAATAAAAAAATAAATAAAAAATGCTAAAGCCAGTTTAAGAATGTCCTTAATGAAACAGTAAAAATAATTACTTTTATAAAGTCCTTGAGTGAATCTTTTTAATACTAGTGTATGCATAAAGCACTTGTGCTGCATACTGAAGTATGATGGTTGATTCAAGGAAAAGCACTTTTTAAGTTACGAGCTGAACTAACCACTTTTTTCATAGAATAGCATTTTTACTGTTTCAAACTATGGTTATTCAGACTTGGGTATGTAGCATACATTTTCCTGAAAATGAATGAGGTGAACCTGCTACTTCAAGGAAAACAACTGACAATATTTGTTGCCTACAATTAAATTTTAGCTTTTAAGCAAAAATTAGAATTTTTGGAAAACCTGTATCTGCTACTTTGAGCTCTACAGCTTCCCAAAACTTAAAAGATATTTCTGATGATATAGGTAATATTAACAATGATGATGTTTTGATGTTGTACAATGAAATGTGTCAACATTTGGAAGATCTGCATAACTCAGTGAACCAAATGACCAATTTAAGCTATTTCAAAGTCATGCAAAGGTATAAGATCCATCCTAAGTGCCAAGATATACCAATGGATTTTAACATAATAGACTACAAAAATTTCATTGATATGATTTCAGATTCCACATTTCAACTGATCTTTAAGAAACTTCCACTTGTTGAGTTCTGATGTAATATCAAAGAAGAATACCATGATTATTTGAAAAGACTATTAAAATACATCTCCCTTTTCCAACTACATAGCTACTATGGGAGGCCAGATTTCCTTCATATACTTCAATCAAACAACATATCTAAACAGAACGAATGGAGAAGGAAGTATGAGAATCTGGTTAAATTCTATTAAACCAGACGTTCGATTTGCAAAAAATGTAAAACAGTGACACGTCTCACTAATGTTTTGTTGTTGTTTTGGAAAATGGTTATTTTTCATTAAAATGCTATTCATGTTAACATGTAATAAGTTTATTATATTTTAAAAATTTATTAGTTTCAACTTCAAATATACTAAATAGAGCCTTAATAAACAAAAGTTCTTTGGAGTACTCAATTTTTAAAGAGTCTAAAGGGCCCCCTAGACCAAAAAGTTGAACTGTGGAGATAAAGAAAGCTGTAACACCACCTACTGGCAAGGCCTGAGATCACTGCCTCTCCTGAAATCCAAGCAGCTGCCAAACTGTTTCCTCACCTGCATTCAAATACTTCTCAAAGATGCTTTTCTACAATGAGACTCACCCAGGGGAAGGAAGCTGCGGGGAGACAGGATTAAAGTTCTACTATTGGGGAGTGGTAATAATACTTCTCAGTGGCCTACCTTAAGAACTTAAACCACTGGTTACTGAAGTCGGCAGTGTAACTGGTGATAAAAGATTTACTTCTAGTGTTTTGTTGTTCATTTGTGGCTCCTCAGAGCTGTGTCTCTTCACAGTTAACAATCCTTATTCATCAGCAATATCTGTTGCTCTAAGAAGGTTTACTCCCTTACAGGGGAACTGTCCAGCTGGGCTCACTGAAGTTTGGTCCTTGGCCTTAAAGAAACATGTGAGCAGCATGACCCAAGGCAATTGAACGCTCTAGGGATTTTATTCAGCCTTTAAATTGCCTGTGTGGGCAGAAGCAAATGCAGAGAAAAGAGTAGTTTTGGGGAGAGGTTTTTTCTTACTGTGACCATTCCTAACAGTTTCTTGTTTATAATCATGCAGTAGGAAACTGAAGCCATTTGAAGCTTTTTTCCCCCACCTTCCTCTTTTAAACATGCTTCATTTTCTTGGTGACATTGCCTATGCTGATTGAAACTGTTGGTGATGTGAAAACGTCACTTTTCTTTGTAGATTTTAAATGGAGGGACTCCAGACATTCCTTCCAGCGGCCTATTACCAGGGCAGGCTCAGGAGAACCCAGGTTATCCATATTCTGATAGTTCTTCTATTCTTGGTAAGTGGCATATTATTTATTTCCATTGCAATGAGCTTGCAAAACATCTGGCATAAAGTCAGTTTTAAGAACTGAATGTACAAAATAAGCTAGTTTTAGATAAATTTGATAAGAACAAAGTAAAGGTTTAAAATGTGTTTACTTCAGTGTTGAGTTTAATGGTTGAGCTCGGGGGGGCCGGGGAGTCAGAGTTTGTCCCTGGAACTCAAGAGGAGACTACAGGGGCCGGCCCTGCGGTTTAGCGGTTAAGTGCGTGCACTCTGCTGCTGGCAGCCTGGGTTCAGATCCCGAGCGCGCACCGACGCACCGCCTCTCCGGCCATGCTGAGGCTGCGTCCCACATACATCAACTAGAAGGATGTGCAGCTATGACATACAACTATCTACTGGGGCTTTGCGGGGAAAAAGATAAATAAAATTATTAAAAAAAGAGGAGACTACAGCAGCCTAGACACAGGTTTTCTCCCACCACGTGGGACATAATCTCTTCAGAGGGAGAGGTGATGAAGGTTCAGAGATAAAGCCTAGAAGGGTGATCAATAAGCATTTCAGAAGGTATTAAAAGTCATTAAGCGATGAAGACTTTGCTTCTCCTATCCCACTCATCTTTTGCTCTGCTTGTCTTTCTAGATCTCTTTTTTTTCCTAGTTCTACCTTCCTGTTTGTCTTTCCTTCTCTAACTCCCTCCTTGTAACTGGTTATATCAGAACATTAAAATGAGGTCAATTCAAATGCTTTTAATCTTTATTGAATTTTAAGCACTCTATTTCTAAAAAGTTGGTTCTTCCCTCTGAAAACACCAAAGTTAAAAAAAAATATAATGCAATGCAGCCCCAAAAGCAGCCTCTCTTGCCCTTCTCACTCTACTGTTAAGTATAACTTTTTTATTAAAAGTGTGCTTAGGGGCTGGCCCGGTGGCATAGTGGTTAAGTTTGCGCGCTCTGCTTCAGTGGTCTGCGATTTGCAGGTTTGGATCCTGGACACAGATCTACATACCACTTGTCAAGCCATGCTGTGGCGGCGTCCCACATACAAAATAGAGGAAGACTGGCACAGATCTTAGCTCAGGGACAATCTTCCTCACCAAAAAAAAAAAAAAAAGTGTGCTTAGGAATTGCTTACTACAGTTAAACAAGCTTTGGTATTATCACTGACCAGTCTTTATCTCTTCCAACAGGTGAGAACCCTCACATAGGCATAGACATGATAGACAACGATCAAGGCTCAAGTAGTCCCAGTAATGATGAAGCAGCAATGGCTGTCATAATGAGCCTCTTGGAAGCAGATGCCGGGCTGGGTGGCCCTGTTGACTTTAGCGACTTGCCATGGCCGCTGTAAACACTACATGTTGCTTTGGCAACAGCTACAGTATCAAAGTGCATTACTGGTGGAGTTTTACAGTCTGTGAAGCTTACTGGATAAGGAGAGAACAGCTTTTATGTACTGTCTTCATAAAAGCCATCTCAGAGCCATTGATACAAGTCAATCTTACTATGTGTAACTTCAGACAAAGTGGAACTAAGCCTGCTCCAGTGTTTCCTCATCATTGATTATTGGGCTAGCTGTGGATAGCTTGCATTAATTGTATATTTTGGATTCTGTTTGTGTTGAATTTTTTAATCATTGTGCACAGAAGCATCATTGGTAGCTTTTATATGCAAATGGTCATTTCAGATGTATGGTGTTTTTACACTACAAAGAAGTCCCCCATGTGGATATTTCTTATACTAATTGTATCATAAAGCCGTTTATTCTTCCTTGTAAGAATCCTTTACTATAAATATGGGTTAAAGTATAATGTATTAGACAGTTAAAATATTTTTAATAAATGTTTCCCTTGTTCTATAAATACTGTTCACATTTCAAATAATTAGGAAAAAAATCCTACATGCCACAGGGCTGGAGCATCGATTTTCTATAGTGGATGTTTAAGGACGATCCATGCCAATGACATTTACAGTGCCTTTCTGGCCTTCGTAACAATTCTGGGACTTACATAATTTCCCCTTGTTACCAGCTTAGCTGTATTGTTAAGACAGTGAATCTCTAAACTGTTGCAATTTTAATTTATGTGAAAACAAAGCTGTTACTGCTTAAACACAAATTTCAAATCCTCTGAAATTAATCACAAATTCAAGATTAGATGTAAAAAATTGGCTTCTCTTCTACAACTCCTCTCTACCACTACTCACAGTCGTATGGCTTCAAACATTAAGTGACCCCAGACCCAAAGCACCTAAATACTTCTGATTCCTTTTTGAATTGGGCCACAGAATATTAAAAAAACAGCATTTGCATGAATAATATGCTAAGCAGAGCAACATATTATAATGAAAAAAGCACTGAACTACTGCCAGAAATTGGCTCTGAAACTTAAGGTTACTATATGACCAAGTAAAGGAATTTCACCCTTCATAGCAGGTTGGACTAGAAAAAGTTCTCTTTTCAGCTCTATCATCGTTTTGGATTTATAGTATATTTTATAATTAGTAGGGAACCTAGTACCTCATCACACATATATCAAATTGGAGTTCCTTGAGCTACTATTTGGTTTCTAGTTATACTGACAACAAGAAGACAGGAAATCTGCTAATTATGAAACTAAAAATCTGGTCAAGGTGGTTATAAAGTTGATCAGAAACGTTAAAACAATGGAATTTTATTTTGATGAAAAACTCGAGTTTACAATCATTTAGTAAATGAAGAGCAAACACTTAATTTTCCTATCCCATACCTCTTAAGGAAAAAAAATCATTAGTAAATAAATATCTGTGAACAGATAACGGGTAAGGCAGACTGGATAATAAGCCACCTCTGATGTTCACACTCCCTGCATGTGACTCACTCTAAAAGGGTGAAAACGGCACTGGAGATAAGTGATAAGATACAGGCTTTGAATCTCATTCTAATCATTCAAATAAACCCAATGATAAATACTCATTTTTTGCTCATCATGGGCAGCAAACTATACACGTTTTACTGAAGGAATACTTTGAAAGAAGCACTTATTTAAGTTACATTGTGCATCACACAACTATAAAAATGGCTTGAACAGTTCCATTTAACCACCATTTATAAAGTGCAACTATATAATATTCTGCATTTTATCTGGAGCATGACGAATATCAATCCAGACTGAAAGTACCCCAGCTGCCAATTTCCACGACTTCTTAAAAGATCTAGATGTGTGAAAAAGGACTGTCCCCCATACAAAGAACCAATTTCACAAACCTACTGGTAAACAAATACATTTATATGGATGCTAGAATTATACTCATTTAAAAAACCATTCAGCTACCTTTGGTCTTTAAAAAAAGCCTACACTGCAATATCCTAAACATTGTTATGTGCATCTCACAATGAAAAGAGTGGCTTTGCAGTGCAGAATGAGGAGAGTGCAACGTCACTGTGAAGAGTAGCATGCTATGGTTTCAAGGAACATCAGCATCACAGCATTGGATTCTGTGCATCAGGATCGAGGTCATTGTTGCCAGGAGGATGGATAGGGAGACTATCCAGCTCATCTACTTGCGGAGTTGGGTGCATGACTACCAGCTGGTCCTGGGGAATGTCTGCGGCAGCTGCTGCAAGGTTGGTGATAGATTTACTCTTTACACACTGAAAGTCCACATGCCGACTCTTTCCTTCTTCCTTCTCCCAGGACATTCGAATGAAGGGTCTTTGGACATAGTTGTAAATCACTTCTGGGCGGCCCCCAGGCCTTTTCTTTACTTTTTCTTTGTAGGTAGGATAACCTGGAGGAGAGAAAGGCTTTAAAAACTGAGGATACACACGCACATGTGTGCACACACACAGCCCCCCACACTTCTCACTCAATTTCGCCTGAAGAATGCTTTTCTGCTGAAACTCCTGAACAAACAAAACCAAGAAGGGAAACCAATATTCCACCCCCTCAGTCATCAGTTCAACAGCCAGAAACTGAAATCCTACTCATGTAATTCACAAAACCTTCCACCATCCTCTCAGCTACTCAATACACCAACCACCAGAAAAACATTCTTTAAGAGCATGGAGGGGATGGCTCCCAGATAAAATGGTGCGTAATCTAGTGCATCTTGGGCTCTAGCTGTGTATCCTTAATCTTACTATCTGGCCTCAAGGCCTGCAATTTACTGCCACATTAGCATTCTACTTTTCTTAAACCTAAATCTCAGCTTCATATTGCTCTGGGTTTTTTCTGTCCACTTCTTGCTAAATGACGAAGAGCTATAGAGCTCTCCCGCTTCACTGGTTCTAGGTACTTCTACACCCAGGTCAGCAAAGCCAATATCTTAAGCCCCCATATCATTTTAATGTTACTACTCCCAACAACCAAGCAGTTCATTCAGACTGGCAATTCCAAAGCAGCATTTCTTGATTAATTATACCTTCCTCGTCTTGGATCATAATCATTGAAAAGTAACAACCAGTAAGGACAATCCTAGTTTTGGAAAATTTTCAGTCATTTACCAGTAAGGCAATTTCTACAAAGACATAATCTCCTTAGACACCATTACAAGTCCCTTCCCTCCTTCCTACCAGCAAGAATTGCTAGTTTAGACCACAGACTGGCAAACATTTTCTGTAAAAGGCCCGAGAGTAAATATTTCAGACTTGTCGGCCATATGTTTCTGTCACAACTACTCAACTATGCCATTGTAAAGTGAAATAAGCCACAGACAATACATATATGAATGAGCATGTCAGTGTTCCAATAAAACTTTATTTATAAAAAATAAGCAATAGGCTGGATTTTGGCCATAGTTAGATCATAGTTAGAATCAGAAAAAAACAGAAAGGCCTCACATAGTAGGGACTCAATTCATGATTATTGCATAAGGGGATGTACGTAGGCATCATTGCTAGCTAGTATATTTAGCCATGCGTGGGGTATGTGTGTATGTGGTTGAGGTAAGGGAGTCATGGGGCAAGCAGGGCTAAAGACCTTCTAAAGACCTTCTATAGAATGTCTCTTCATTTCACGCTTTCAGTCAATTACCATCTGAAAAGCAGCACTTGATCAGAAAGGTCTCCATCTCTATTGTCTTGTCCTTGATTCCTCTTGGACTATCAGAAAATCTAAAATTCCCATCTCATCATATTCCAATCTGTCCTCTACAGAGAATCACCACTCTAATACAAGTGTAATCATATTACATCTTTAGAATATAGTATTCAAACTATATTCTAAATGGGATCCAAATTTTTAGCCTTGTTTTTTCAAAAGAAAACTAATAGAAAATAATGAAAATGTCTTACCTTCTATTCCCAATCGAATCTTCTTAAGACCCCGCTCCTTCAAAACTGATTTGGCCACATCTCTGTTTTCAATGTACTTGAAAAATCTGTATAATTTTGTGCTATAAATAACTGGAAACAAAAAGACAAAAATATTTTATTAAAATCAAAATACTTGGAGATGAAAAATTTATCTTGATCATCAAAGGGGCCTGACAACCCTAAAAGCCCAAATAATGGATGCAGTGATGCCAAAGGATGACTAGCCAACAGGACAGGACAATTCAGTACAGTTAATGTATAAGCAAATGTCTACTTAAGCTGAAACAAGAAAAGCTTTAATAACCAATTTGGTAACCCAATCCATAGGAAGAATCTCCTTCTGAAAGATATATCATACACAAACTTATTGAAATAGGACCTGCCCAATTTCTTCAAATAAGAGAACCAAAAGAAGATATCAATATTACATCATTATCAAGCAGGCAAAGTAAAGGACTTTGCTACAATGCCTACAAGGCCTCATCTACAAGGGAAAAACACTGCCTTGACAGAGAGTACAAAATGGATACATCTTACATTTCATGGATTGAGCAACTATTAATAATTCCCCAAAAAGGCAAAGACCCTCCCCACAAACTGTTTTTCATTCAGGCGAACAGCCCCATTTAATACTGATGTTAAAAATGGCAGATTCGAGCATGTTCTGCCTAGGTTAGTCTGTTTAGAGCAAACTGGCTTTGCAAAGGACAGACATTCCACTGACAACATGTTGAGTCTTCCAAATGTGCTGAGAACTTCAGGGAGTTAGACTGATGGACCTTCCTCGCCTTCTCTCTTTCAGGTGGAGTTATCTCCCTTAAAAGGTGAACTGCAAAGGTTTTTTCAAAAAAAGAAAAATACACTCACAAACCAAACATGCTGGTTTAAGAGCCAATAAATGGAAAATACGTATACAGATGCTACTCATGGGATAAGTTTGTGATTATTACTACATCCTTAAGATTGCTGATATTTTAAGATAAAGATTTTTTGACATCTCAGAATAGATGGTGTGATAATGTTACATTTAGGAAAATCAGGCTGAAGAGGCTCTCTCTTTCTCCTCAAATGAATCTTCTTTAGGTTGAAACATCTTGGCACAAAATAAAACATATTTAAGACTAAATTAAGTAAAAATGTTTTCAGTCCTTTTAATCTTCAAAGCTTAAGTTAAGAAAAAAGAAAACAAACTGAAAAACATTAAAATGGAAAGCTCAATAATTAAAAAGGAAAAGCCAGATCTACTGTAATTCCCTATCACTATAATGTTGTTTCTGTGTTCTATGGTTGGCTCTACTCTCTTGGAGTCAAACCTTTTGAAAACTAAAATACATATTATAAGTTTACTCATTCCTCTTTCTTAGCAGAAAATAATTTAGTATATTTCTTTTGATTTGGTAACCTTTCATTTTTCCTGTTTTGTTTAACTTTTTATTCCACGTATTATTATAGAAAATGATTGCCAACAAAGAGCCTAGGAATGAGGAAATAGCAATAGAAATGCCTATTACTACAACTGTCCACAAAAGAATCACAACACTCATTTAAGTACATCATGCAAAGAAAACATCTCACTGTAAATTCTAAAAAGTGCTACCAGAACTTATGTAAAAATAATCTTCTGAAAATCTTCAGAAGTCAAAAAGAATAGCACTTGGAGTCTGTTCTGTTTTGTTTTTAGAAAAGTGTAAGTAAAATGGAAAAATCAGAGATTAAAGGGTTTTGGTACTTTCTATATTTCTGTACTTTTTACGTAAACCTTAATCCTTACCGAGTCAGACTGGAGTACATACAGAACAAGATGCTGGGCTATTTTACCTAGCTCCTCAAATCATTCTTTTAACTCTATCTTCTTCTCAATCTATAAAATCAAAAATATTACTTTGGACTCATCAAGAAAAACAATATAAGATAAATTTTATAACAAAAGAAAAATCAAAAGGCTCTAATCAGAAGAAGTTTGGAAGTACACTAAGAAAAAAGTTGGTCACTGCTGCTCAAGATATGTTGTTTTGGTCAGAAATACCTAACTACAGTTCCACAAAGCTTTCTGAAGGGTCACTGTATCCTTCAGGAACACATATGATATTAAAAAAAGAACATCTTAGAACTTCAAGTCACCCTCGAAAGCAATGAGTTGAAGCTTCTCATTTTATATACAAATAAAAATTCATCTAAAAAAAACCAGCTTATTTTTTATAATCTACTATTCTAGGATCTACCTTTCTAGAATGCCTCTAAATGCAAAAAAAAAAAAAAAATCCATCAATATCCAAATACTCAACAAAGAGCAAACTATTTTTGTGCATGACAAGGGTGAGCACACTTTCTGTAAAGGGCCAGAGAGTAAATACTTTTGGGCTTGCGAGCCATGCGTTCTCCATTGCAACTACTCAATTCTGCCATTGTAGCACAAAAGCAGCCATAGACAATACATAAAACTTTATTTATAAAAACAGGCAATAGGCTAGATTTGGCCCACAGGCCATAGTTTGCTGACTTCTGGTGTAGTTAAGAGTTCAATGTACTTTCTTTATAAAAACTGTCCTTAGATTAACATTATAAGAGATAAAAAGAAAATGTGTGATGATTCAAGAGAGAGAAAACATGCCACAATACTTACTTTGTGAATACTCTTCTCCCATCTGTGGTGGATACTCTTCATCCCAATCAACCACATCATCATCTGTAAGCACCACTATGTGGCATTCTCGTTCGCCACTCTGAGCACTAGCTACCATGAGAGGCAGGATCATTTCTTCCAGATAAAATTCAAACTGTCTACGAGCACCATCATTTGATAACTCATGCATTAGAGCACCTGAAATGAAACCCACAAAAATACCCTGATTTTTTAGGTGACTGATGAGTAAAAGAAGAGCACAAGCAACAAACAAATAAAACATGTAAGATTAGTTCAGCATCTACTTTGGAACCCTATACACGATACAGTGGTTATTCTTTAGTCAACAAAACTTTTCCTAGGAAGAGTTGTTACGGAACTGTAGAATTTTACAGCAAGAAGGGCCAATTAAAGGGATCTAACACAAGCTCCTTTATTTTACACATCATGAAGTAATTTGCCTTAGGTTACAAAACTAATTTGCAAAATCAGAATTAAATCTTGATTCTCCATCCATAGCTCAGGGTATTTTTTTACTATATCATGTCATCTTCCATCAATATATGCAATTATATCTTAAAGTATACCTTAAAGGTATTTTTCAAATTATCCATATGAACTAAAGTACCTCCCATATTCCATCTTTCACATGTTTTCTTTATCAGAAAATTATTCACAAACAGCATTAATATTTCAGTGTAGGAAGAGGGGTGAGATGAATAGGGTCAACTGGCTTTGGGATAAGCCAAAAGGCCAAGCAAAATAAAGCATGGTGGATATTACATAGCAGACCTAACCCAAGAATTGAGAAGGGTCAAAGATAGACTTCACTTCACCCTCCTTAAGCATAGAACTAATGAACAACTTCAACTTCCCAAATACAGAGCCATAAATTCACCGACATTGACCTAATCTTTTATTTCTATTTCAATGGCAATGTCTTTTCTCCTACCTAAGGCTCTACCATCTCAAGAACTACCGGGAGGGTTAGAGAAGGACACTACAACTCAAATCTTATAGTCTCCCAAGGGAGAGTGCTTTTCCCCCTACAACATGTTGTCTAACTATATAATAACTACTAATAATATATAATTACTAATAAATGATTGATTAAAGAATTAATCTATATTATTATTTAGTCATGTCTCTCTCTAGGCTGGCTACTTCTCATTATGATTTTTTTTTTAATTCCCTTTATAGCCAAGCTCCTAGATGTATCAACATATTCTCTTTCTCCTAACTTCTGAACCAATTCCAATCCGGCTTCTGCACTCACTACTCCTCAAAACTGTTCTCGCTATGGTCTACAAATGAACTTTAGATTATTAAAGACAATGGACATCTTTGACCCCAATCTATTTGACCTCTCAGTTGAATCTCTTACAGGGACCACTCCCTCCTTCTTAAAACACTCTCATTCCTAAGAATCTCTGATACCATTATCCCTGGTTTTCCTTCTCTTCTCTGGCTGTTTTTCTTCAGTCACCTTTGCCAACTCTTTCTCCTCTAGCTGTTCACTAAATATGGATATTTCTCAGGACAATTTTAAGTTCTTTTCTTCTCTCACCCTATGCTGACAATTGCCAAATTTATTCTACTAATTCTGCCTTCTATATTCTAGATGCATTATATTCAACTGCCTTCTGGAAATTTCCACTTGAATGCCACCTCACAGGCACCTCTAACTCAATATATCCAAAATTGAACTTAAAATCATGTGTTTTCCACATCAGTAAATGGCATCACCATCCACTCAAGTTCTCAAAATCATCTCAGAAGAGTGCTGGGCATACGACAGGCACTTAAATATTTGTAGAATAAATGAATGAATCCTTGATTCCTCTTTCATCTCTTAATTCAATCATTCCCCAACCCCTATCAGGTCCACCTCTTAAATACATCTTGAATTGCATCATTTCCTTCTCTGGAAGATGCTATTTTCCAAAGACAGTTGCAAAATCTCTTATGCCACATGCTTTTCTGCAATGTGACCTTGACATCTCCTCCCAAGAGGTGGGGTCTAATCCCCCTCCCCTTTAATCTAGGCTGGTCACACTGATTGCTTATAACCAGGGGAGCATGGCAGAGGTGACGGTGCATGACTTGCGGTTTTGCCTTGGTCTCAGGAACACTCGCCCTCCAAATGCTTCCTCTCTGAACCCAGTCTCCAGCCTTGAGAAATCCAAGCCACATGACGAGGCCACATATAGGTACTCTGTTTGACAGTCTTAGCTGAACCCAGCCTTTGAGTCATGCCCAGTTATCCCAGGCAGCAGACATGTGAGTGAAGAAGCCTCCAGCCTTTTGAGTCACCTCAGCCCTTCAATTCTTCACAAGATAAGGCCTCAGATATTGTAAAGCAGACATAAGCCACCTCTGTCGTACCCTGTCTGAATTCTTGACCCACAGAATAAAAACGTTTATACTTTATGCTACTAAGTTTGGAATGGTTTGTTACATAGCAATAGTTAATCAGAATACATTCTATCCCCACTGCCCCTACCATAGTCCAAGTCATCATTAACTCTCGCCCAAACTACTGTAAAACCCTCTAACTACATTCCCTCAACATTTGCTTTTGCCCCTCTGTAATTCATTTTCCCCATGGCAGCCATATCTAATTATGCCTGTCCTCTAGTTTAAACCTTTCATGGCTTGTACTATCCTTAGAATAAAAGTCCCAAATCTTCAGCTTGGTCCATAAAGCCCTGTTATGTGAAAAAGGGAGTTACAGATCAGTGCACACAGTCCTTTAGAGAAAATATTTTCTTTAAATACTATCCATATATTGATGACTCTCACATATAAATATCTAGCCCACATTTCTCTCTTGAACTTTAGAGATGTATACCCAAAGGCCCACTCAAGATTTCCACTTGAATGTCTAATAGGTATTCCAAACTTAACATGTGCAAAATCAAGCTTCTAAATTTCTGCTGCCCATGAAGTCTCCCTATCTCAAATAACGGCAACTCCATACTTCCAGTTAATTAAAGCCCTCTTCTCTCTTCCCCATATTCAATTAACAAGCAAATCCTGACAACTCTACCATCCAATATATCCAGAGTCTGATCACTTCTCATTGCTTCCACCCTGATTTAAGCCACCACCATCTCTTACTTGAATTATGGCAACAAAAGTAAGTTTCCTAACTATCTCTTTGCTTCTGCCTTAATTCCCCTTCCAGTCCATTCCCAACACAACAGCCAGGAGTGATTCTTTTAAAGCATAAGTCAGATCAGGACTATAGCACTGCACAACTCTACAGTGAATTGTGTGTGAATGGTGCTCATGAAATGGTAAAATGTGGCAGCCTTACAGATCATATCACCTCTCTGTTTAAACCTCCAATGGCTTCCCATCTCAGTCACTCAAAGTAAATGCCAAAAGATAAAGGCTCTACATGACATCATCTCCTACTAGTGACACTCTCACTCCACTCAAACTATACTAGTCTCTTTGCTGCTCTCAAAAATGCCAGGCAGGCTGCTTCAAAACCTGCACTTACTGTCACCCTCTGCTTGGATTTTACTTAAATTTTCTTCTCCAATGAAGGCTTCTCTGTCTACTCTATGCCCCTTCCTTACTTTTTCCCCCTCCTCAGCACTTATCACTATCTAACATACCAAATGTTTTTTGTTTGCATGTTGTTTGTTTACCTTGTCTGTCTTCCCCAAAAGAGTGTAAGTTCCATTAGAACAGGACGTTTTGCTTAGTTTGTCCATTCTGCATCCCCAGAACTTAGAACAGTGCTTGGTACAGAGTGGACAGTCATTAAATACTTATTCAGTTAATAAATTTTGTTTTCTCTCTACTTCTCCAGCCTTATTTCTCACCACTTGCATTCCGCCCCTCTGCTCTAACCACACTTCCTTTCTTTCAGTTCCCTGAGCATGTCACATTCCTTCCAACTTCACAGCCTCTGCAAAACCCTTTTCTGCTGCCCGGTATAGTTAGCTTCTTTCCCTCTTTGCTCTCAGCTTTAATGTCACTAACTCAGATAATTATTCTCCACAGCCCCTTTTACCCTACACTTCTCATAGCATCTCATTTCTTCACTGCATTTTTCACAGCTTTTCACTACTTGTTGAATGGCTGTCTTCCCCACTAGACTATAAACTCCATAAAGGCAGGGACGATGTCTGTCTTGTTCATCACTATATATACTACATGCATGGAACTCATGATAAGCCTGATTAAGAAGGAAAAAAAAAACAAATTACACATTAAATAGCAAACTAGAAATACATAGCTGGTACTTAGGAATTAGAGATAAAGACTTAGAAATCCACAGTGTACAGGTAATATGTGAAGCCACAGTGACGAATGGCATCACTCAGAATAAGTGTATAGATTCTGTGAGAGAGAAGGTAGCTAAAGACAGAACAGTAGGGAAGGACCACATTCAGCAGATAAAGGATCAGGGAGCAAGTGAGAGAACGAGAAGCAGAAGACCTAAAAGAAGGATGTCAAAGAGCAAAAGGAAAAGAGAGTCAAGAAGAAATGGGTGACTTAACAGGGAAACCTAAAGGAAATACCTTTAAAGACAAGGATGCCAGAATTACCACTAAATTTAACATTATTCTAGCCAATTCAATAAGACAAAAAAGATATTAAAAAGTATTATTTATAACAAGGTCAAGTATCTACCAAGAATATATGAGAACCAACTGAAAAAACATGAGAAATAAACAGAGTTCTGTTGGGTGGCTAAATATAAATGTACAAAATTCAATAATTTCTTATATTGGGGCCGGCCCCGTGGCTTAGTGGTTAAGTGCGCGCGCTCCACTGCTGGCGACCCGGGTTCGGATCCCGGGCGCGCACCAACGCGCTGCTTCTCCGGCCATGCTGAGGCCGCGTCCCACATGCAGCAACTAGAGGGATGTGCAGCTATGACATACAACTATCTACTGGGGCTTTGGGGGGAAAAAATAAATAAATAAAATCAAAAAAAAATAATAATAATAATTTCTTATATGTTAGCAGTTAGAAAATTCTACATACAACTACAACAAAAAATACAAAATAGCAAAGAATAAACTTAGACTAGAGCAAAAGTTTAAAAAGACATAAAAGAAAACTGAATAAATGGAAAAACAACAGTTGGAGCAGGAGTCAGTATAGTAAACATGTTTATTCTTCTAAAAAATTAAGTTCAAAGAATTCCAATGAAAAGCTCAAAGTTTTTTAAATGATAATTTTTTGAATGTCTAGAATAGACATAGGTCAGATGTGAGTACAGTTGAGCCTGAGGATTACTCTATATGAAAAGAAAAAGAGGGCCAGCCCCGGTGGCCTAGTGGTTAAGTTCCATGCACTCCACTTTGGTGGCCCAGGTTTGTTTCCCGGGCGCGGACCTACACTGCTCTCTTAGCAGTCATGCCATGCTGGCGGCCCACATACTGAAAAATAGAGGCAGACTGGCATAGATGTTAGCTCAGGGCAAGTCTTCCTCGACAAAAAAAAAAGAGAGAGAAAAAGGCTAATGATATGAGAGAAGACAACAAGTGGAATAGGGTCTTAAAAAATACATGAGGGAATAAAATAATTTATTCATTCAACAAATGTTTATTGATTTCTTACTATATGCCAGGCACTATGGACACACAGTTGAAAAGATATAGTCCCTGTCCTCAAGTTCAAACTGGTTTAATGCTACAAACTGAAAAACAGCAAGATCAAGAGCAAGAACGAGAGAACACGTGTGTCTCTACCGTTTCAGTGTCCCTGTTTCAGTGACTCCACAGGCAGGATCTGCCTCTGATCTCCCTTTCTCAACGGGCTTAGATATAACTTCATTTTTTTGGTCTTTGATTGCAGTCCCATTGTCTCCTACATGGATGGTGCCTTACTTCCCAGGCCTTCTGAATTGGTGCTTTACTCAAACTTTAAATTTCATTTTCCATACCACTTTCACCTAAAGACACTGTATTTTCATTTCTTTTAGCCCTAGGCCTTCATTCCTGAGTTCAATCCTGGTTATCAAAACTTCTTCTGGATTACAGTGCTTACCTGGGAAGAGAATGTAGACACTGAAGAAATTTATAGCCTAGCTGGGGAGCTACTATTTACCATAGATTTCCTTCAGTATATGTTTAAGTTCTAGTACAGAAGATTGAGAAGTCAGTTCCTCCCTGTACTAATCTTCTTGCCTCCAAACATACCATTCCTTCTGCTTGGAACAACTTCCTCTTCCCTTTCCCCCAGAAAGCTTCCTCAAGCCCCCATCCCTGAGTTAAGTACAGTTCCTATATGCTCATTTAGCACCTTATTCTTCCTCTAACACCGTAATATAATTAACTTGTCTGTCTTTCCCACTATACTGCAAGCATAATGAGAGCAGGGACTTCGACTTTTTTTGTTGCCTTTTATATATCTAATATTTGGTACAAAGTGAGTGCTCAATAAAAATGCCGAAAATGACTGATATTACTATGTAACCATCAAACGAGTTGTTATTAAAGAATATAGTTATTCACAATATATTTCCATGTGGAAATATTATAAAATAGCATGTACAATACAATCCTTTAATATTTTTTCATTTAATTTACCTTTATTTCCTAATTTCGCTACCTTTTATTTTAAAGCAAACCCTTATTTAACACTATGCGTCAAGCACTGTTCATGTAATCTTCACAACAATCCTATGAAATAACTAATAATATTGTCTCCATTTTAAACATGAGGTAACTAAGAAACAAGGTTTTAAGTAACTTGGCTAAGAAACCCAGGACTCTGTCTATTCAACAAACATTTAGTGCTCATACAATTTCTTTTTAAGTTAAGAGACAAACTTAGATATTTTAGTGTAAAGTACCATTTCAATATTCAGTAAAGGTACATATTTGCAGAAAAAAATTATTTTTGAACTCAAGTCTATACCTATAGTATCCTTTTATATTTTTACAAGACCATTTCTCTCTCTTCAAATTCTATATAGTTTTGTTTTAATGAAGTCTATGAGAATCTCTAAATTTTTAGTAACACATATTACAAGTAATCTAGAAACAATTACAAGTATTATTTAAAAGCCAAAAGTCTACGAAAACCATATTACACATATTTTACATAAAGATTCTTACTTTTAATTCCATAACAAATAAATGATACTTAAGAGTGATGAGAAGGTAACTAAGTCCAAAGGATTACAGAACGGAAATCCATACCATCTATAAAAAAATTCTAGTGTTTTTTAAGACAGACACCAAAATTCCACATCTAATTATACGGAGTTAAATTAAAATGGTCCCATGAATAAAAAAACATAAAACTTGAAGTCAAGGATCTATAATTAGAATAATTAATGTTCATGTTTAATAATTAATGCTCAATTAGAAACATTTTTTTAAGAGGTGAGGAAACAACAACTTTGTTCAAGTTTACAGTTGTATGCCCTAGCTGTCCAACTATTTGACTTTAAACTTTTAAATATCACTTATAGAGAAATGGACTCAGAGGTGGACCATCCACTTGTTTGTCCTATCTATTGATTTTCTTTTTTTTTTTTTGTGAGGAAGATCAGCCCTGAGCTAACATCTGCCAATCCTCCTCTCTTTTTGCTGAGGAAGACTGGCCCTGGGCTAACATCCATGACCATCTTCCTCTACTTTATATGGGACGCCGCCACAGCATGGCTTTGCCAAGCAGTGCGTTGGTGCATGCCCGGGATCCAAACCAGCAAACCCCAGGTCGCCGCAGCGGAACGCACGCACTTAACCGCTTGCGCCACCGGGCCGGCACCCCATCTATTGATATTTTTATAGAGGCTTTAAAGAATGGCAAAAATAAAGTGGTACTGAGGAACAGACAATAAGGCCACTCTTTTTCAAAGAGTTAGATCATTATGGAGCGTGAAGAAGAACAGTTATATTTAAGTATACAGTAGGTGCCTTAAAAATTTAAATAAAATTTCCCATTCACAGTTTCTAACACACCAATCTTTGAAAAGGTACGACAGCACTTTGCCAAGCTGGTGTGGAGTTTAGGTAATGAAGTAAAGATAACCATATGTCTGGAACCAACACAAGGCTATAACCACGTGTGGGAAACTTTTAAAATGGCTTCCCACTGTATATGGGATAAAATGTAAGAACATTAGTTTGGACTCAAGACCTTCCATAATCTGGCCCACCTATTTATTCCTGTGTCCTTCTGGTCCTGATATAAAGTCTCTGTTCCAACGGTTATTTCCAAAGTATATCTTTGGCATCTTTGCTCTAAAAATCTCAGCTCTTAGAATGACCTACCCACTCTACTCTTTCTAAATCATTCCTATTCGTTCTTCTTTTTTTTTTCTGTGAGAAAGATGAGCTCTGAGCTAACATCCGATACCAATCCTCCTCTTTTTGCTGAGGAAGACAGGCCCTGGGCTAACATCCGTGCCCATCTTCCTCTACTTTATGTGGGAGGCCGCCACAGCATGGCTTAACAAGTGGTGTGTTGGTGCGCACCAGGGATCGGAACTGGCAAACCCCCGCCCGCCAAGGCGGAGTGCATGCACTTAACCGCTGAGCCACTGGGCCAATCCCTCCTATTCGTTCTTTATTACCCATCTCCTCTGAACTCTTCCTCAAACCCTCTAGCCCACAATGATCTCTCCTTCTTCTCAATTTCTCCAACCATTTAATATCCAAGCCAACATTTGATAATGCTCATATACTATTTTGACTTTTCTGTGTATAATCACCTTTCTTTCTTAGGCATGGCATAAGCGAAAGGGAGGGGTGCTGGGGAGGTGGTGGGAGGAAAATACCAATCAAAGAGTTAGGATTCCAAAGTTCTACACCTTGCTCTGAGATTATGTTTGAAGTTCTTAGATGAAGTCACTTAACCATTTGTATAAATGAGGGCTAGGTATTCAATTTAAGGACAAATATTGTTTTTGAGAATTATTTGTACCTTCCATAGTGGCTTAGGATATTATCTTACATGGTAACTATAAAAAATTATAAATTTTTGGTTGATGTGATCTTAGGAGTGAAGCCAAACACCACACTTGACCACACTCCCAAGCTGGGAGATAAAGATTGGCAACAAACGATAAAGGAAATAGTCGAGGAGGAAATTTGGGAGAGTCTATCAAAAAAACAAATTATTAGAGTTGAAAAAAAGTTTTGGAAAATTGCAGAAGGAACTTATAAAGATCACTGTAGACTTCCCAAAATAATCTTCATGGTACTAGAATGCTTTACAATTCAATTAAATAAATATTCGAAGTGTAGATAAATAGCACTATTTCAGGCTTTTCATTCCGGTATATTGTAACTCTACAAACCACCCACACACAAAACATTATACTTACTGAGATCTCTACATTTAATAGTACTATATTCAAAAGAGATACAAAGATAGTCACATGCTTCTCTCAGTTCTGGAATAGATATGCCATCAGGACAACGGATTATTCCTGTTTTATAGTAATCCTAAAAAAAAAAAAGGTAAGAATGCATAAAACATCTGGAGCATGAGGTAGCCAAAACTTATTATTAAGGTTGGGCTAGTAGCATTTTCTAAAGTACCAGAGCTCTGAGATTTCTGATTTGTGGAATTTTAAAGTTAGCTGGGACCTCAGACCTAAAATGAACCACTTTTTCATTTTACCAATAAGAAAAACTTAGGGCCAAATGGGAGGAGTGGGGGGGTGTCACTGACTCATGCAGTCACAGAACTATTTAACGGCAGAGGTAAGATTAGAACCCAGGTCTTCCCATTAATTATGCATCTCTTCTCTCTACTACATCATACTAATTCATATGTATTTTCTCCCCTAAAAGTTATTTTTCTATATAACTACCATAAATTTTTAAAATTTTTTAAAAAGGAAGGTCAATGATATATTTTAAGTTACCTTAAATATTACCTAGAGAATTGAGCAAAATTTATTATTTTTAGTAAAGAACTGTAAGGTCATATCCAAGTATTAAAATATGTAAAACAGAATGCACAATTAGATATTCTTCCTCCAAATACTATCCTTTGGTATTTCCCATATCACTACAATCATTAGTAATTATTTCCAAAATCTACTTAAAATGTTGTTAAGGGCTGGTCCCAGAATTAAAAGTAAGTTACTCCACAGCTGAGTCATAAAAACTTTTCTTACTTGTCAACTCCATTAGAGGTCAAATGAAAGTATGGGCAGCTGAAAAAAAGCACTTCACAAAAAATTAATAGCTGCCTCATTTCTTGAGGTTCAGAACTACAGTAACACAATTTCTAAAGCTGCTGCATCAACGGAAGCAGAACAACATCTGGTACTTGTCCGAGTACTAACAACCTAATCAAGATCAGCTACTTTTTCTGTCCCGTACCTCAGGATCCTCCCTCCTGTCTTCCCCCAAAACTATTTGAGGAAACCATATTTTCAGACTGTGGCATAAACTGTCACACACTGTAAATCAAATCTTTATCACTAATTTGAAATTACAAGTAGGGATGCTATAATACTAATGCGAATATTCCTCAAAATCAAAGGTTAAAACTTCAAAATTTATGGTCTAAAACAAAGATGCTAACAAATATATTTTAGAGGTCACTTTCAGATGTTCAGAAAGGTCCATATTTGCTGGTTATGTACAATAGGTAGCCACATTCCCAGGTAGCAAAAAATGATCAACTTATTATATTTAAGAGAATTAAGAAGGGAGTAGTAATATGACTCCAGAAATGTTACCAGTAAACCCTTGAGAGAATTGCCTATGCAGACCTAAGAGATGAAGCATTCCCTATCCTATCTTCCCAAAAGTCATAAATTCACTTATTTATATCATATTATCTTTATGTACTAAAATAAAGATGAATTAAATGGTATTTGAAAAAAAATAATATCCTGCATACCTCCATAGAGATATCCAAGTAGAACTCTGCTTGCAATTCAAGTATCTACCAAGAAGGGGTCAGATGATTAAGTCAATATACATAAGAAACAAGAACTTACCAGAATAGCTCGAAACACAGTGGAGCCAATTCCCTCTGCCACCTCATACTCTCCCTTCTCATTAGGACGTGTAAAGTTATGCTCTCTGCCTGATCCAAACATCCTGTGATAGCAAATAATTGAGAAGTATATCAATAGGATACTTGCTTCAAAAGGGGAAATTGATTTCATGTACAAAAGTAAAAAGGAATTATAATTTAAGCATTAAATTAGTTTAAGAATTTTTATCAGAAATTTATTCTGGCAAATGTAATAAATGAAGGAATATAAAAAATATCTCCTTTTTGATGAGAGGGAACAGTAGCACAGATCCTCTATAAGTAAACAAAACCAAGTGATAAAATTCAGAAGCTAAAGAACGTTCCAACCCCTTCTCCTCAGGTGGGGGAAAAAAGAAAAATCAACCTATCTAGGTAAAAGGTGATTTTTATACTAATCTTACGTGAAAGAAAAAAAAAAGGAAAAGGGAAACCATGTTATCTGTACCTTTTCCTTAAAACTGCTGTCTTCATTAACTATAAATATAAGAAATCTTGCTCAAAATTCTTACACTTGCATCTAGAAGTGAAAAACAAGCAAATACTGGAGTAGAGAGGAATGAAGAAATCAAGAGGAGAATGAAAAGTTTAAATAAGTGAGAAAAAGTAGTAAATTTTTTTTTTTTTTGGTGAGGAAGATTAGCCCTGAGCTAACATCTGTTGCCAATCCTCCTCTTTTTGTTGAGGAAGATTAGCCCTGGGCTAACACGCATGCCCATCTTCCTCTACTTTATATGGGACGCCACCACAGCATGGCTTGATAAGCAGTGCATCAGTCCATGCCCAGGATCTGAACCTATGTACCCCAGGTCGCCAAAGCGGAGCACATGAACTTAACCGCTATGCCACCAGGCAGGGCCCATAAATATTTATTTTTACATAAGGAAAATACAAATGGATTTATGTTTTTTCAAGTCATGTTGTTGGCCCTTTAACAGTAACTATTTAAGAAAAGAGGCAATTTGCAAAATACGTCCTTCAAAATGAAAAGTTTAATGTTACTACTCCCAAGAAAATTTTTAAATTGTGATTTAAGGAAATTGAACCTCTGAATTCAATGACACCACCATTCCTAAAGTAAACACGGCTGATGTAAGTATTCTGCTCAATTTCCCAATTTAAATGGTTTTCCCTTTTGTTATAACACAGAAAACTATAAAGAACAAAGCTTTTTTATTTCAAAGTTACCAAAAGAATGATAACTGCTTTTTACAGTTCCCATGAATATTAATTTTCATCCCCAAAGATATGCTTTAGTCAATTGACATGAAAAGAAGCCTTCACTGATGAAAAAAAAAGACAGCCTTTCAGGAATCAAATGTCATGCAATTTTCTCAAATACTTGAACTTTTTACAAAAGGGGAAAGCTATACTTTTCAGATCAATACGGACACACACACACACACAAAAAAAATCTTTGGGTTTTGTTTTGTTTTTTAAAGAAAACAGCTGAAGCAAAATATCAAGCATCTACTTTTTAACTGTTTCTTTAAAGTTTAGGTAAAAATATAAAGTATTAACAGTGTCAAGTCATCCTCCTAACAGCTTCCATCAATAATCTTCCCCTATGCTACTAAAAATACATTAAAGCCTATAGTTTAAGTATTTTTTTCCTCACAGATATAAGTAAAGTCTAGTGCCAAAGTTAAAAGAAAACATTTATCTACTCAAAATGTATACAGTGTCATATGCTAGCATTTATTCTGTATTTAGGGACACCGACAAATCACTCACACACAAAGGCATCCAAATAGTTACTCATATGCAACCCAGAAAAAAGCCACAAGTTTTTTACCTCATGGAAACTTCTATTTCATTTATATGCCCCTTCATTTTATAGAGTGAACAGAAAAAGATACTAATTTTACAATTAAAAAGATACTAATTTTACAATTAATTAAAAGGTATTTGATCCTAGTTTTGGACACACTGAAAAATCAAGTCCACGCTGTGTATATCATTTTTAGATTGCAGTTCCAAAAACTACAAACTTTACATTAATCTATTACTCTAGATCAGCAAAGATTAGAAGATGACTATTATCGCTCCTTCATTGTCCTAACTACTTGTTAATAACACTCTTTTTTTTAAGTATCTATATCAAACTGACAATTCATGATAACTTTTCAGCTAATCAAACTGTTAGGTTTTTTTTTCTTTAAACAATACTGATACCTGCTGTATTTGTGGTTGAATTTCGGAGCCCCAAGTAAAGGAAATGTATTATCACTGTTAAATTTACCTTGTTAGATATAATCTATGGTAACAACCTGTAGAGATCTTTTAGTATCCAGTCTTCATTAACTAATATATTTACTACTCCTACCAATACAGCAAAGATCGTTAGAAATAAAACCAAGTTCAAGATCTGGCCCCACTAGTTTCTAGTTGTATTAACTTGAACAAGTTATTTAACCTCCAAATCTCAGTTATTTCATCTGTAAAACAGGAACACTACATTCCAACAGAGAATTGCTATAAAACTTAAATGAAAAAAATAAAATAATGTGAAAGTGCTTTATAATTAGTAATATAAAGAACTGCAATAATACAAACCTGCCCAACATTGTATTTGGCTGTGCAGTAAAAATAGATGGGTCTACGACAAATCTAGTGTTATCCACTATTAGTGTCACTCGTTCTGACGTTCTTACATTCCGAGCTCCTTCTTTTGCATTTTCATATACAAACACCATCTCCCCAGATGCTTTGCAGCTACCATCTGAACTTGACTGACTACTGTTTCTGCTGCTGTTCCCAGCACTGCTACTGGAACTATTTGGAGATGCTTTTTGAGGACGAGGGCTGCTTGGACGAGAGGAACTGTGATCTTTTTCTCGTTCTAAAATAAAGATGTTAAACAAAGTTATGCAAATTTCTTCTAAAAATTCAAGAACCAAATACATCTTTTTAAAATTCTGATTTAGAAAAGTTGTTTTAAATCACAGTATTTCTGCTTTTTGACTTCAAATAACAATTTCACAGAATTCCATAAATGTTAATTTATTTCCCAGGAATAAAACCTAAAACATCAAAATGTTTTCTAAAATAATTCATCTTCGTAGACTTTTAAAAAGATGTATAGCTGACTAATGTTGACCCAGACTAATACCAAAATTAAGGTAAATTTTATGTTATTATTCTACTTAAAAGTATATAGAAATCCAACGAACAGAATAATATCCTTTTTTCTTTTTTTTTTTTTTTTTGTGAGGATGATTGGCCCTGAGCTAACATTCATTGCCAATCTTCCTCTTTTTGCTTGAGGAAGATTGTCACTGAGCTAATATCTGTGCCAATCTTCCTCTATGTTGTATGTGGGACGCCACCCACAGCATGGCCTGATGAGCGGCGTGTAGGTCCACGCTCGGGATCCAAACCTGCGAACCCGGGGCTGCCAAAGCGGAGCAGGTGAACTTAACCACTATGCCACCGGGCTGGCTCCAGGAATAGAATCTCCTTACAAGCCAAATAAATGAGCATTGAAAGTCAGTAAAAGATTAACAAGAATATCAATTAAAACTGTCCTAAATATTAAAAGTATTAAAACTATTCTGAGAACACAAAGCACCAACTTTGGAATCTCACTATGTTAACAAGGGCATTCCAAAACCTGCAATTTATCTCACAAAAGGAAGGTCCCAAAGGATGAAAAAAATTTCACTAAGGACAGCAAGAAGTATTTATTTTTTTAAATGAATTTTAATTTCTACTAAATAAAGTGGCTTTAACAGCTGGTAATATACTGCTTTCTTTTCATTCTCACTTTTGTTGAACAAAGTACTGCTACAAATTTTATAGAATCATTGATAATTTTAATAGGTAGGAAATACTGTTAAAATTCAGAAAATTTTCTTTAGATGTTCCAATATTCTACAAAGGGGAAATTAAAACTAAGACTTTCTGATAAATTTCCTTTAGAGGCTAGATCACTAAACTTTAAAGGTGACCTAAAAATGTACCTCCATCTCATCAGTTTCATCTGCTTTTCCCAAATTCCTCCATGACTCAGGCTACTGAGAACACTCTGTACGGCTTTACTGATTATATAATTAGGTTTGCTGATTATATCTCCAGAGATACTCTGACACCTCCCTTTTACTGCCTGTTTCCACAATGCTGGTAGCATCCCAAAAGCAAAATTTGCTAAAGTAATAAAATAATTTATTATATCCTCTTATTCTCTTCCCAGATACTGAACTTTGCATATAACAAACTGTCAACTCTTATTTATACTTTGGTTGATTTTTAGCTTATGAGTACTAGCCTGACTTTAAGGACCTACTTAGATATTGGATTGACAACTTCTATGCTAATTAGACCCTAATATAAACGATTTTGATTCATAACAGATAATCTGAAATTACCTCATATAGTAAGTCAAAGTATTTAATCTGCCCCTTCCCCAAGGGAAAATGAAAATTAGCAAGCTCACATTGCTTATTACCTCTGCTTCAGACTGGTGCTTTATAGTTATACAATGTATTTACCTAGGGTAATAACGTTCATTTATAGTAATGAGTAGGAAGGAAGAAAAAGACCTGAGCTAGTTGCCAAGAAAGCAAATCACTTCACATCTTCCCCTTCATATTCTATCTTTATTATTAAATTTAAAACACTGCCAAAAATCAAAATAAATTACTCTATGAGGGTTATTTTAGCTTTCATTTCCTTTTTTTAGGATGATTACAAGGATTCCTATCAACAATTTACTATGAACTACTTCAAAATAAATCAATGCTATATATCTCATAAGATAAAAATCAACTTAAAAGATTTTTAAAAATCTATATATCACAGTTTTAAAGGCTTTTCAAATTACTTATTTTATAAGACTGCCCCAGACTCTTAAAAAAAATTCACTCCTAAGTTTCATTTAATAAGTTGTTTTTTCACAGCAAGAACCAAGCTAAGCTAAAATAGAAGCAACTGAATAGAAATAAGAAGTTAATTTTACCCTGAAGTATTAGGCACAATTCATTGTCATTACTACTTTAAAAAGGTAAATACATGCTTTGAAAAACTGCTGGGAACATTAGTTGATTTTACATACCAACATGGTGCTGTCGTGTTGGAGAAGTAACATTTCTAATACAAGGAGTGAGCTGAGATTCCGTTCTTTCATGAGATGAATCTCGTGATCTGTCACTTGACCTTCGTCTATCTCTTGATCTCTCATGTCCCCCACTAGCACCATGTAGACTCATTTTGGTGTGGTCAACAACTCCTTTAGCAACACGTGAGGGAGTACTGACAAGTTAGAAAAGAAAATTAACCATAAAAGTAGAACATGAGATCACAAACACTTTTAAAGAAAAAACCAATTAACATAAAACTATTAATATTTTGAAGTGCAAGAATGAAATGCTACTTTACAACTCTGAAACCCAATTTACCTCAAACTTATAGGTTTTATAAATTCTGGAACACTATGTCTTTAAAGATCATAATCCAACACAGTTTTTTAAGGATGAGAAAACTAGCCCAGAAAGGTTAACTGACTTTTGAGTTAGCAGTAGAAGTAGTAGTAGCAGTAGTAGTAAAAGAGACCCAGATTTCCTAAATATTACTCAAACGTTCTTTTGATTTCTTTGATTGTGGGGGAAAAAAGAGAAGGAAAGAGTCCAGCTTCTGGAACTCTTAAATAACTGAGGGATGGGACAAAGTAACTGGTCTCCCTGCCAAATAAAGTCTACATGCTAACTTCAATCAATTCATTTTGATTTTGATTGAACTCATTTCAAAATTGTTGAACAGTATTTCCCTAAAAAGCTTAACTGCACTGTGTAAAGTCACAGAATTTAAAATTTTTATACATCTTATGTAGAGTAAGTTTGCCCATGAGAAGTGAATAAATGAGAATGATGATTAACTAAAATAGGCTAATTGACAGAATTCATTCATATAATTATCTAAGTTACATGTACTATGCATACAATGTGCTACATGCTAGTAGAGAAGCTCCCTCAAGCAGCTTATGATTTAAGTGTAGCAGTACATAATAACGAATATGTAGAAATTTAAATAATTCAAAAGTTATCCCAAATTTCAAATATAAAATGACTAAATATATCTCAAATATATAACTAACAAATAAGTGATAGATCATAAATGCTTTAAGATCTCAGAGAAAGAAGACACTATAGATTAGGGTTAGTCACTGGTAAACCAGGAGCTGACAAATAGATAAGATTTTAATAATCAGAATACATTGCAAGTAGGAAAACTGATGGGAACAAAAATGAGAGAGCCTGACCTAACGCATTCTGGAAATTTACCATCTTAGCATATACCACGGTTCATGGTTGAAAAATATTAAAGTGTTTTTTAAAAATAGAAGGAACTTCATGGCTTTAAAGTAATAAAGACTTAGAATCAAACTGTCCTTTAACACTTAATTGCTCAACATGTTAAATGTTACTTAACATTTTAGAATCTTAGGTTCCTCATCTGTAAAATGCAGACTCTGCTTTCTAAGGTTAATATGAGGATTAAATGAAGTATAATAAACTGACGAGCTGTACCTGGCACACTATAATCACCCATTAAATATTAGTTTATTTAGTTATGACAGATGAGGATATGAAAGTTGAAAATTACAAGACTTGCTCAGAGTCACACAGTATTTAGTGGATATGCTAATAACACTGTAACCTAAGTCTTTTGATTCATTCCAGTGCCCCCTCCATAATATTATCCTGCTCTCCTTCAGGATTTAAAATTTAATTTTGTGTGTGTGTGTGTGTGAGGAAGATCAGCACTGAGCTAACATCCATGCCAATCCTCCTCTTTTTGCTGAGGAAGACCAGCCCTGAGCTAACATCTATTGCCAGTCCTCCTCCTTTTTCTCCCCAAAGCCCCAGTAGACAGGTGTATGTCATAGTTGCACATCCTTCTAGTTGCTGTATGTGGGACGCCACCTCAGCATGGCCGGACGAGTGCTGCGTCTGTGCGCGCCCAGGATCCGAACCCAGGCCACCAGTAGCGGAGTGTGCGCACTTAACTGCTAAGCCACAGGGCCAGCCCATAATTTTCTTGATGATTCAATTTTAAATCCTGCAGTGCTTCAGGGTCATCTTTTCTGCTGGCTTATTAGCTGTAACACCAGTTTTGTTATTTTAGTGATTTCTTTCATTATGAAAATCAGTTATCACCTCACTACAACAGACTACAAAGACAAAAAGAGCTGACTTTGTATTTACCCTAAGAGTTACTTCTAGGGAAATAAAGGCAACCTATCGGCCTTTATCAATCATTTGTCTCTCATAAACCTAGAGAAAAAAGAAATTCTACTTCCACTTTCTTTCTAGTGAAAAAGATCAGAGTAGAACTACATCTTTGGAACATAGTCTTTTTCTTCAAATAGAACAAATCAAAAGATCCTACTGCATTCACGTCAAAAACCTTAAAGTAGAAACAATGGAATTTCTGGCTTATGTCCTAAAGTAGAAAAAAGAAAAGAATCCATACTAATAGAACAAGGATTATATATTGGAAAAAATAACTCCTCAAATTATTCTAGCCGCTAAATTTTAAATGTGCTAAGCACATTTTCTAAACATGAATCTAATTGATAATTTAACGGACAAGGCACAAACACAACTACGACTAAGGCAAATGCAGGATAAAGGTTCAGTATGAGTAAGGGCCAAGCCGACTGATTAACTGAAAAAAGCATTTCCACCAGACATCTCTGTAGCTAAAAGATTAAACACTGCTAAGCATTCTGTTGAAATATTGGCTTCATTTCTAAACTGTCAGATTTTTAAATGAATGCAAAAGGTGTCATAACACACTTCTATCCTTTCTTTTCATTCCCAAGTGGAATGTATTCTGGATCAGACCTTCGAAATCAGATGTCATGGAAGACTAATTATGTCCTACCCTATTTAATTAAATAATTTTAGATCAGGAAAGCACTCTAAGGGCAAAAATAATTAATATGTGCAAAAGAAAATGAGGACAAGCAAGTTCAGAGGGGATAAGTGTGCTTCATGTTGCACTTAAAAGAGTTTAAGATATATGAATTGAGGACAGGTAAGGAGATGAGTTTATCAATCCCAACATCTGCTTCTAGCCAAGACAGAGTAACAAAGACTAAATTTACTTACATGTCTAAAACGACCCCCCAAAATGGACAAAATATATGAAATAATGGTTTGCAAGACACAGTACATGAGGTAAAGAAAGAGAGTGATCCCTGAAAGATGGAAAACAAATAAATCCAACAACTGCCTCAAATTACTACTTTGAGCGAGTTTCCAGAGTAAACACAGGGAGGTGAAACCCAGGCAAAGCCTGGACTCTGAGTTAAGGATATGGAGCTGAGAGGTTGGGGACAACAGGCGGCTAGAGTTCTCAGGAAAGAGTATCAGACAGAGCAGAGCAGCAGAGAGAAAACCTCAGAGATCTGCAGTCTTCCTCGAGTATTGAGCTGAGTACCAATCAGCACACATATGTGAAGAAACTACTGAGGCTAAGGAAAGAACTCACTCAAAGGATTAGAGGAAACAGCGCCTAGGACTTACATAGGGCCAGGACTAAGGCGTGTTCCCCCCTAGCCGGGCTGGAAAACCTCATAATTCCTAGGGCATTGAGGAGAGAATCTAAAGGGTCTTGGCTCTGAAATGGGAAATAATCAGACCCAAACTGAGCATCGCTCTTGTCACATCTAACAAATCTTAACAGCAAGACCTGAAAGAATCAAATTGTTTCTAAGCAACTAAACTAAATTCTCAAACAAAGCTCAAGAATATTTATAGAAATACAAAAATATCCAGCACCCAAACAAGGTAAAATTCACAATGTATGGCATCCAATAAAAAACTACCAGGCATACTAAGAAGCGGGAAAACATAACCTATAAGGAAAAAAAACTCAATCAAAATCAACCCAGAGCTGGCACATATCTTAGAATTAGAAACAAAGACATTAAAAGTCATTATAATCATATTACTCCAACAAGTTATGCTGAGATATAGAACATAAAAAAGACGCAAATCAAAATTTCTTGAGATAAAAATGACAATATCTGAGATGAAAAATACACTGAATGGAAGATTACATATTATAAAAGAAAAGATTCATGAATTTGTAGACACAGCAACAGGAAATATCCAAAATGAAACAGAGAGAAAATAGAAAAGCAGAGCATGAGTGAGCTGCAGGTCAACTTTGCTGCTGTCAGTGCCATCAAGTCAATTCCAACTCCTAGTGACCCTGTGTACAGACAGCATGGTGGAACCCTGCCTGGTCTTTTTGCGCCATCTTCTCACCTTCCAGCGTTGTATCAGACAATGCTCCACTGCTCTTCACGTGGTTTTCACGGACAATTTTTTTGCAAGTGGGTGGCTGGGTCCTTTTTCCTAGTCTGTCTTAGTCTGGAAGCTCCACTGAAACCTGTCCACCATGGGTGACCCTGCTGGTATTTGAAATACTGGTGGCAAAGCTTTCAGCATCACAGCAACAGGCCGCCACCACAGTATGACAACTGACACAAGGGTAGTGTGATTCCCTGACCCGGAAACAACCTGGGGCCAAGGTGGTGAGAGCACCAAATCTTAACCACTAGACCATCAAGGCTGGCTGGGTCAACTTTAAGTGCCTTAATATAGGTATAAATGACGTCCATAAAGGAAGAGAGGTGGGGAAGAGAAAAAATATTCAAAGAAATAATGTCTTGAAATGTAATGAAAACTACAAACCCACAGATACAACATGCACAACAAATCCCCAACACATTTGAAGGAAAAAAAAAAAAAAACATCAACCTACATTTGTTATATCCAGTAAAAATATCTTTCAAAAATAAAGGTGATAGGGCTAACCCGGTGGCACAGTGGTTAAGTTCGGTGTGCTCTACTTCAGCAGCCCGGGGTTTGCAGGCTCAGATTCTGGAAGCAGACCTACATCACTCATCATGCCATGCTGTGGCAGCATCCCATATACAAAATAGAGGAAGATGGGCACACATGTTAGCTCAGGGCCACTCTTCCTCAAGCAAAAAGAGGAAGATTGGCAATAGATATTGTTAGTTCAGGGCCAATCTTCCTCACCAAAAAAATAACTAAATAAAAAATAAATAAAGGGGAAATGCATTTTCAGACACACAGAAAAAGATGAATGAATTCATCGTGAGCAGACCTGCACTATAAGAAAAGTTAAAGAAAGTCCTTCAGGCAGAAGAAAAAATAATGCCAGATGAAAATATGAATCTACACAAAGGAATGAAGAACACTGGAAATAGTAACTACATTGGAAAATATACAATTTTTTCTTTATTGTTTAAATCTCTTTAAAAGATTAGTTTAAACAATAATTATAACAATACAGTATAGAGTTTATAATATGTATGACTATACAATAGTACAAAGTTTGGGAGGAGAGAAATAAAAGTACACTATTGTAAGGCTCTTATACTATACAACAAATGGTATAATATCACTTTAAGGTAGACTACGATAAATTAAAGATGTATATTATAAGCCATAAAGCAACCACTAAAGTAAGGAAACAAAGAATTATAGCTAATAAGCCAACAAAGGAGATAAAATGAAATCATAAAAAAGATACAATGAATCCAAAAGATGGCAAAGAAAAAAGGAGGAGGATGGGGAAACAAGAACAAACAGGACAAAGAAAATAAACAGCAAGATGACAGACTTAACCTTAACCAAATCTATAACCACGTTAAATATAAATGGGCTACGGGGGCCGGCCCAGTGGTGTGGCGGTTAAGTTCGCGCGCTCCACTTCAGTGACCTGGGGTTCGCAGGTTCAGATCCCGGGCGCAGACCAACATACTGCTTGTCAAGCCATGCTGTGGCGGCATCCCATATAAAGTAGAGGAAGATGGACACCAACGTTAGCCCAGGGCCAATCTTCCTCAGCAAAAAAAGAGGAGGACTGGCATCGGATGATAGCTCAGGGCTAATCTTCCTCACACACATACAAAAAAATGTAAATGGTCTAAGCCATAAAAGGTAAAGATTATCAGACTGGATATAAAAGCCAGACCCAACTATATACTGCCTACAAGAAACTCACTTTAAATATAAAAGTACAAAGAAGTTCAATATAAAAGGATAAGGAAAGATAAACTATGCTAACACTAGTCAAAAGAAAGCAAGAGTGGCTATATTCATATCAGACAAAGTAGCCCTCAGAGCAAAGAATATTACCAAGGCATTTCATAAGGATAAAGAGGTAAATTCATTAAGAGTACTTAACAATCCCAAAAGTACTCATGCCTCATAACAGAGCTTCAGAATACACAAAGCAAAAACTGATAAAATTACAAGGAGAACTAGACAATTCACAGTTATAGTCAGAGATTCCAATGCCCCTCTCATAATATTTAATGGAGAGAGTAGACAAAAATCAGTACAGATGAATAAGATTTGAACAACACTATCAACTGGCTTGACTTAATTGATATTTATAGAACGTTTCACCTAACAAGAACAGAAAACTCATTCTTTTCATGTGTACACAGAACATTCATCAAGACAGTCCATATTCTGGGCAATAAAATAAGTCTCAATAAATTTAAAAGAATTTAATCATACCAAGTACGTCCTCTGACTACAATGGAATCAAATTAAAATTCAATAACAGCAAGATATCTGGAAAATTCCCAAATATTTGGAAATTAAATAAGACCTTTCTAAATAACCTATGGAACAAAGAAGAAATCAGAAGGGAAAACAGAAAATTTTGAAGTGAAAGAAACCCAACATATCAAAATTTGTGGAATGGCATAACATTATAGCAATAGTTAGGGAGCAAATTATAGCATTAAATGCTTACGTTAGAAAAGGAAGGCCTAAGAAAAATCATCTCAGTTTCCACCTTAGGACACTAGACAAAGAGCAAATTAAACCCAAAGAAAGTAGAATAAAATAATAAAGATCAGAGTGGAAATCACACTAATAGAAAACAGAAGAAAAGTTGGGAAAAAAAATCAATGAAAACAAAAGCTGGTTCTTTGAAAAGATCAACGTCTAGCTATACAGATTGTGAAAAAAATCAAGAAAATACAAATTAACTATCAGAAGTGAGAGAGGTGACATCACCAGAAAGGTTACATGTATTAAAAAAATGACAGAAGAATATTATAAACAATTTTATACAAATAAATTCATCAACTTAGAAGGCCTGGATCAAATTCCAAACTACCAAAACTCACTCAAGAAGAAACAGATAAGGTAAATAGCTCTATATCTATTAAAGAAATTGAATCTGTAGTTAAGAACTTTCCCTCTAAGAAAACCACAGGCCCAGATGGCTTCACTCATGAATTCCACCAAGCATTTAAGATAGAAATAATACCAATCCTGCATAAACTCTTCCAGGAAACTGAAGAAAAGATAATAGTTCCTAACTTATTCTACGAGGCCAGCATTACTCAGATACCAAAACCAGACAAAGACATTATGATAAAACTACAAATGTATATCTCTCAGAACACAAATGCAAATATTTTATAATTTTATTTATTTTTTTTCCCCCAAAGCCCCAGTAGATAGTTGTATGTCATAGCTGCACATCCTTCTAGTTGCTGCATGTGGGACGCGGCCTCAGCATGGCCAGAGAAGCGGTGCGTCGGTGCGCGCCCGGGATCCGAACCCCGGGCCGCCAGCAGCGGAGCTCGCGCACTTAACCGCTAAGCCACGGGGCCGGCCCAAATGCAAATATTTTAAACAAAATTTTAATAATTCAAATACACTAATATATAAAAATGCCAATACATCATGACCTAATGGGATTTACCCTAAAAACCCAAGATTAGTTGAATATTCAAAATCAATGTAATTCACCATATTAACAAGTTAATAAAGAAAAAATTTGTATCTCAATATATGTAGGCAATACATTGGACAAAATCCAAAATCTATTCCTGATTAAAAAAGAAAAGAAACAAGGCCAACATCACCCTGATCCCAAAGCCAGACAAGGACAACACAAAGAAGGAAAACTACAGGCCAACACTGCTGATGAATATAGATGCAAAAATCCTCAAGAAAATATTGGCAAACCAAATACAGCAATACATCAAAAGGATCATACACCACGATCAAGTGGGATTTATACCAGGGACACAGGGATGGTTCAACATCCACAAATCAATCAGTGTGATAAACCACATTAACAAAATGAGGAATAAAAACCACATGATCATCTTAATAGACACTGAGAAAGCATTTGACAAGATCCAAGAGTTTATGATAAAAACTCTCAATAAAATGGGTATAGAAGGAAAGTACCTCAACATAATAAAGGCCATATATAACAAACCCACAGCCAACATCATACTCAATGGGGAAAAACTGAAAGCTATCCCTCTGAGAACTGGAACAAGATAAGGGTGACCACTCTCGCCACTCTTATTCAACATAGTACTGGAGGTTTTGGTCAGAGCAATTAGGCAAGAAAAGGAAATAAATGGTAACGAAATTGGCAAGGAAGTGAAACTCACACTGTTTGTAGATGACATGATTTTATATATAGAAAACCCTAAAGAATCCATCAGAAAACTATTAGAAATAATCAACAACTACAGCAAAGTTGCAGGGTACAAAATCAACTTACAAAAATCAGTTGCATTTCTAAATGAACTAACAGAAAAGAGAACTCAAGAATACAATCCCACTTACAACTGCAACAAAAAGAATAAAATATCTAGGAACAAATTTAAACAAGGAGGTGAAAGACCTATACAATGAAAACTATAAGACATTATTATTTTATTTATTTACTTATTTATTGGTGAGGAAGATTGGCCCTGGGCTAACATCATGCCCATCTTCCTCTACTTTATGTGGGACGCCTGCCAAAGTATGGCTTGATGAGTGGTGTGTAGGTCCATGCCCGGGATCTGAACCCACGAACCCGCGTGCTGCCAAAGTGGAGCGTGCAAACTTAACCACTACACCATCGGGCTGGCCCCCGATAAGACATTATTGAAAGAAATCAATGATGACATAAAGAAATGGAAAGATATTCCATGCACATGGATTGGAAGAATAAACATAGTTAAAATGTCCATACTACCTAAAGCAATCTACAGATTCAATGCAATC